TTTCCTCGTCTGTTTCCACGTACTGCAGGAAGGCCTGTGTCTCCTTCATGGTAGAATTCTCCATCCCCCACCACAGGGCCAAATACAAAGACATGTCCACAAGGTGGATGGCACTTTTATTAATCGCAGTATTACTATCATCATCATCATCATCACCTCCATCATTCAGACAAGAAAGCCCAAGAAAGCTCTGGCTCCTGCCCAGTGTCACATAACTAGGAACTAGTCAAGGCAGGATCAACCCAGGTAACCCGTACTCAATCACCACAAACCAGGTACCACTAACCAATGAGAAAGCTTACTCAGCAACCACTTACTAATTCAGTAATCGTCAAACACATTTTCTTTTTTCATTGATGTCTCCCTATGTTGCCCAGGCTGGAGTGCAGGGATGTGATTCCCAGCTCCCCACAGCCTCGACCTCCTGGGTTCAGGTGATCCTCCTGCCTCAACCTTCCGAGAAGCTGGGACTACAGGCACCTGCCACCACCCCCAGTTAATGTTCTGATTATTTGTAGTGATCAGATTTCACTCTGCTGCCCAGGCTGGTCTCAAACTCCTGGGCTCAAGCTCCTCCTGCCTCAGCCTCCCACAGTGCTGGGATGACAGGCACCCAGCTCAGTGATCATTTCTCTCTCTCATGACTAAAGATGTTTCTCTTACTGTGTAGAACAGAAACAGAAAAAATTTAAATGAGCTTGAAGTCAGTGACAAGAAACGTAAATAAATAAATAAAATTTTAAAAACAGGCTCGGCTCAGTGGCTCACACCTGTAATCCTAGCACTCTGAGAATCCAAGGTGGGAGAATCACTTGAGCCCATGAGTTTGAGACCAGCCTGGGCAATATAACAGGACTCCATCCTTATAAAACATTAAAAAATGACCCAGGTGGGGTGGCGTATGCCTGTAGTCCCAATTACTTGGGAGGCTGAAGCAAAAGAATCACTTGAGCCCTGGAGGTCAAGGCTGCAGAGAGCTATGATTGTGCCATGGGACTACAACCTGGGTGACAGAGCCAGATTTTGTCTCTAAAAGTAATTAATTAATTGAAATAAAATAAATAAATGAGGCAGCTTGGGCCCTCAAGCTACTGTTTGCTGGCCCCAGTCTTAAGTGAATGAATGAAGTGAATAGATTCATTTGTTCATTTGATAAACAAATAATATATTTTTTAGTTGAAGGCTGGGGTGCAGTGGCAGCTACTGCAGCCTCAACCTGCTGGGCTCAGTTGATCCTTCCATCTTAGCTTTCCAAGTAACTGGAACTACAGATGCACGCCACTATGCCCAGCTAATTTTTTGATTCATCGTAGAAATGAGGTCTCACTACGTTGCCCAGGCTGGTCTCGAACCCCTGGGCTCAGACAATCCTCTTGCCTCGGCCACCCAAAGTGCTGGCATGACAGACATGAGCCGCCACACCTGGCTAAGGAAACTCTTCTTATCCCTGAAGTAATGTACTTTGTTATAGCAGCTAATGTTACTCACCCTGACTTATATACCACAGCCACAGGCAACTCGAACTCAATGAGATGGAAGCAACAGAAAGAATGGGCTGGGTGTGGTGGCTCATGCCTGTTATCTCAGCACTTTGGGAGACTGAGGCAAGAGAGTTGCTTGAGCCCAGGAATTCAAGACCAGACTGGCCAACATAGTGAGATCTCATCTCTATAAAAAATTAGCCAGGTGTGGTGGTGCATGCCTGTAGTCTTAGCAACTCAGGAGGTTGAGGCAGGAGGATTGCTTGATCCCTGGAGGTGGAGGCTGCAGTGAGTTATAATCACATCGTTGCATTTCACCGTGAGGCACAGACCTCTAGATGAGGTCCAGGTCCCTAGCCCCAGTAACTAGTCACCTGGCTCCTCCAGGTCACCACTCCCTCTCTCCAGCCCAATCCCACTCTGACTGCCCTCCCCTCTCCCTCCCCTGCCCCAGGGACATGACTAGTTACCTGGACCTCATCTAGAGGTCTGTGCCTCACGGTGAAATGCAATGATATAATTATAACTCACTGCAGCGTCCGGGCGGGTCCTTCTCACAAGCAGGTCTGTCTCTAAAAAATAAAAGAGGGTTCTCTGAACCCATAGCCCAGGCTTCTCAAGCTTGACCCTGTTGACACTGGGGTTGGATCATTCTCTGTGGTAGGGTCTGTCCTGTGCACTTTAAGTAGGGTGCTGAATAATATCCCTGACCTCCATCCACTCTGAGCCAGGAAAAAACCTGCCCCAGTTATGACAACCAAAAATGTTTTAAGTCTTGCCAAATTCTGGGGCAGCATCAGGAGGCAAAAACCTCCCCATTGAGAACAACCACCCCATCCCAAACCCCAGCCCAGTATGTCATACCACATATCCCTTATCACTCAACAGCCTACCCCAAAAAGGCATTTTAAACTGGGCACAGTGGCTTACACCTGAAATCCCAGAAATCTGAGAGGCCAAGGTGGGAAGATAGCTTGAGACAAGGAGTTTGAGACCAGCCTGGGCAAGATCACGAGACTCCATCTCTACAAAAAAATTAAGAAATTAGCCAGGCAGAGTGGTGCACACCTGTAGTCCCAGCTACTCGGGAGGCTGAGGTGGAAAGATCGCCTGAGCCTAGGATGTTGAGGCTGCAGTGAGCTGTGATCATGTCACTACATGGTGACTAAGCGAGACCTGGACTCAAAAAAGAACTTTTTAGGGAGGGTTTAGCTGGTACCTGATACTACACTAAGCCATATTGAAGTATCACCACAACACCCCCCCGAAAGGTACAGTTTTTTGGTTTTGTTGGGTATTTGGGTTTTAGAAATAGGGTCTTACTGTGTTGCCCAGGCTGGTCTCAAACTCCTGGTCTCCAGTGATACTCCTGGCTCAGCCTCCAAAGTGCTGGGATTACAGGTGCAAGCCACGGCACCTCGTCAAGCTATGGTTTTTATCCACATATCACAGATGGGGAAACTGAGGTTCAGAGAGGTAAAGTTGGGAGGTAGTTGTCCTAGGATCTGAACTGAAGGCTGGCTCCTTCAGGTCACCACTCCCTCTCTCCAGCCCAATCCCACTCTGACTGCCCTCCCATCTCCCTCCCCTGCCCCAGGGACGTGACTAGTTACTGGGGCTAGGGACCTGGACCTCATCTAGACCCCAGGACTTACCTTACCCCGAGTCTAATCAGCCCCTGCGTCCGGGCGGGTCCTTCTCACAATCAGCCCCATCCTCTCCACATCCTTGGTCTTTGAGTTCCATTTCTGCTGCCCGGCTTGTGGACTCCAAGAGTAGTGAAGACAAGCTGGGTGTGTGAGTGTACCCATGGCTGCTCATGTTGGTATCATTGCTCTGGGCCTTGGGTCTCAGAGGGACTGGCCAGCTTGGAGACTCTGGCCTCCGCCACCATTCCCACCTGCCAGGCCAGTCACCACCCTGAACACACAGGTGCCAGCAAATTCCTACCTCAGAGCCTTTGCATGGGTGGTACCCACTGCCCAGGATACCATTTCCCTAGATCCATGAGACTTGTTCCTTCACTTTCCCCAGATCTGAGGTGTCAATGTCACCTCAGCAGTGAGGCCTCCCAGACTCCCTAGTCCAAGGTGCCCTCCTGCATCTTCAAGCCTCCTCTCCTGCTGTCTTCTCTACAGCAGCAGGGACCTTCTGGCAATGTAGACATGCCTACTCTGTGCTCGCTGTCAGCCTCCCCACTAGAGCATGGCTCCCCGACAGCAGAGGTTTGTGTGTGTCTCACTCCCATGGTCCTCAGCACCAAGAACAAGCCCTGGCATATGTTGTTGTGGTTGGATGGAAGGATGGATGGGTGCATGAATGGGAGGGAGGGAGGAAGGAAGGATGGATGGATGGATGGATGGATGGGAAAGAGGAAGGGTGGGAGGATGAGGAGGGTTGGATGGAAGAAAGGAAGAAAGTAGGTAGGAAGAGAGAGAGGAAGGAAGGATGGATGGGAGGAAGGATGGATGCAAAGGTGGATGGATGGGAGGGAGAAATGAAGGATGGGAGGATGGGAGGAAGGAAGGAAAGTAGGTAGGAAGAAAGGAAGGAAGGAAGGAAGATAGGAAGGTGAGAGGAAGGATAGATGGATAAGAGGAAGGAAGGGAGGGAAGGAAGGAGGATGGGAAGAAGGATGGGAAGATGGGAGGATGGGAGGAAGGAAGGATAATAGGAAGAGAGGGAAGAAGGAAGGATGAATGGGAGGATGAGAGGAAGGAAGAGAGGAAGGATGGGAGGGAGAGGGAGGAAGGGGAGGGAGGAAGAAAGGAGGGGAGAAAGGGAGGAAGGGAGGATAGATGATACATGAATGGATGTGTGGACAGATAGATGGATGGATGGGAGGGAGGGAGGAAGGATGGGTGGATGGGAGGATGGATGTATGCATGGATGGAAGTGAGGAAGGGCGGGAGGAAAGGAGGATGAGACGACGGATGGATCGATGGATGGAAGGAAGAAAGGAAAAAAGTAGGTAGGAGGAGAGAGGGGAAGAAAGGATGGATGGGAGGACAAAGGAAAGTAGGTAGGAAGAGAGGAAGGAAGGAAGACTGGAAGGCAGGAGGAAGGATAGATGGACAAGAGGAAGGAAAGGAGGGAGGGAAGGAGGGAGGGAGGGGGGAGGAAGGATGGGAAGATGGGTGGATGGGAGGAAGGAAGGAAGGATGATAGGAAGAGAGAGGAAGAAAGGATGAATGGTAGGATGGGAGGAAGGAGAGAGGAAGGAAGGGAGGGAGGGGGAGGAAGGGGGAGGAAGAATGGGAGGATGAGAGGGAGGAAGGGAGGATGGATGGATACATGAATGGATGAGTGGGTAAATGGATGGATGGATGGATGAACAGAGGATAGATAGATGGGGTGGGTGAACGGTAGATGGATAGGTAGAGGGGTGATGATGGATGGAAGGATGGATGGATGGATGAATGGAAAAAGGAAAGAAGGATCGATGGGTGGATAGTGGGTGGACAGGAGGATAGGTGGATGGAAAGATGTGTTGTTCCCACCCTCATCCCCCCAAAACAACTAAGCAGAAGGGGAGGGGCTGTGAGGAGAAAGAGAAGTGAGGAGTCCTTCTTCCAGCCTCCGCACCTCTACTCGCGCCCTCCCCATCAGAAGCTCCTTGCCTTCTCGCATCTGTTTCTTCACATCCCAGCCCACATTGCCATCGTGGACCCAGTGTAAGTCTTCTGACAGGCACCCAGAGACCTGGAGAAGCTGTTTCTGTGGCTGGTCTCTTTCAAAAAAAAATCTTTTGGCCAGATGCAGTCGCTCATACCTGTAATCCTAACACTTTGGGAGGCTGAGGCCAGAGGATTGCTTGAATCCATGAGCTCAAGACCAGTCTGGGCAACATGGCAAGACCTTATCTCTACAAAAAATAAAAATAAAAAATTAACCAGGTATGGTGGCATATGCCTGTAGTCCCAGCTCCTCAGGAGACTGAGACAGAAAGATATGAGCCCAGCAGGTTGAGGCTGCAGTAACTGTGATCATGCCACAGCACTCTGGGCAGTGGAGTGAGGCCCTGCCTCTAAACATGAAATAAAAAATAAATTATAATAAAGCACTGATTTTAGAGACTACATCCCCCCACCCAGTCACCCCACCACCCCACCACAGTCTAGTTTTTCACACCTCCCCAGTAAACAGACACAAAGTCTAAGTTACCAAGAAACAGACACTCTGTTGGGTTCTGACAGAACAAGATGTTGCTGAGGTGCCCTGGGATCCCTGCCTCCTTAGGACCAGACACTGCCCCCACCCCATATTTATTGTATGACATGCTCACAGCCAGAATCTCCCAAGTGGTGATGGAGTCTTTCAAGAATATGCTCATGCTCTTCATGGAGATTCTGGATGGGGGAGGGATTATGGCATCAGGAGAAGACACCTAGCTGAGTTGGGAGAGGCACTGGTGGGGGCAGGGAGGCCCCAAGGGACAGGTCGGAAAGTTCTGGGGTGAGCCTATCTGAGTAAGCCCACTCTTGATTGCTCTAGGCTGGGCTGTGGGGACTACACAGAGCTTTCAGGAAAGAAAGAAGGCAGCAGGTGTGTGCATAGTCAATGCTCTGGATGTGGGGTGGGTTGATTGGGGGGGCAGACTCACCCATTCTTCGGTGCTTCCCTGAACTCATCGATGATCCACAGCCAGATCTCCAGGAACTCCCTTAGGAAAATGTTTTCTTCCAGCATGATGTCCTTGTCCAAATCACCTGCAAGGGAGTTGTTGAGGTCCAAGTTTAGCATGAGCTGCTTCCCTGGCCACCACATCTAGATATCCTAGTGGCAAAACACACCCAGGACCATGCGATGGCATCTCCTAGCTCCAGGCACATTGGCCTTTGAAGGCTCCTTCCTTCATCAAATGTATATTTGAGTCAGGGTCTCACTCTGTCGCCCAGGTTGGAGGTCAGTGACATGATCACGGCTCACTGCAGCCTTGACATCCTGGGCTCAGGTGATCCTCCCACCTCAGCCTCCCAAGTAGCTTGGACAACAGGCAACTGCCACTGTGCCCGGTGAATTTTTTTTTTTTTAAATTTTTAGTAGAGACGGGGTCTTGCTATGTTCTCCAGGCTGGACTCAAACTCCTGGGCTCAAGCAATCTACTCACTTCAGCCTCCACACACACACACACACACACACACACACACACACACACACACACACACACAATGCAGAATAGGTTATGTTCATTTTTTCCCTTTGAAATGCAAGTATTTGCATGCACCTCCAAAGAAATATGGTCCCAAGACTCCATGTCTGCTGTGTCTGATGGATCCTGAATACCACCAAGTGAGTTGAGAACAATCCCAGACCTGGTACAGACCACTGAAGAAGAAATAGTCTTTAACCAGCCTGATAGGCCAGGCACAGTGGCCCACATCTGTAATCCCAGCACTTCGGGAAGCCAAGTCTGGAGGATCATTTGAATCCAGAAGTTCAAGACCAGCCTGGACAACAGAATGAGACCTCACCTTTCCACAAAAAAAGAAAGAAAAAGAAAAAAAGAAAAAAGAGCCAGGCACTACTTGGAAGGCTGAGGCTGAAGGATCACCGGAGCCCAGCAGGTTGAGGCTGCCAGAAGCGTGCCACTGCACTCTAGTCTGGGCGACAGAGTGAGACTCCAACTCAAAAAAAAAAAAAAAGAGGCCTTCCTATAAATGATAAACGTATAGAACACTTCCAATGATTAGTTGTGTCATACCATGCACATCAACTCAGAGCCCTGTGCCTCAGTTTCTCTATCTTTAGAATGATAAAACAATCCAAAGTAACATACCATTATTTCCAGTGACTTTCTTTATACATATTATTATGCCTGGGTACTTTATTCATATGAGGCACTTCAGTTAAATTGCATATTTACTTGAGAATGATTAGATTGCTATAGGCAAGGCCTTCTCTCTTTACATATATTCAAAAGAACCTTCCCTCAGGAAATTCCAGAGTGGAGACAGAAATTCCATGGGTGAGTAAAAAGGATGGTGCTCTTTGTGGCTCTATGGCTGACCCAGGATGACAGCCAAGATCTGAAGCACTAATTCTGTCCTGTGCACTCATTCCTCAGCTAGTCCCCCTCTGCACTGCCCATGCCCACACTGTACCTGTTCCATGAACACAAACAGAGATTCCCAGTTATTCTTCCATTCCTCAGGCAGCTGGCTCTCATGCGGGTATTTATCACAGCCCACATAGATGGACAGCTCGAAACAGTTTGTGTGAAGGTAGCTGAAATCGTTCAGACCTGCCAAGCCAACCAGACAACATTTTAACTGAACAATGCTCAAAGTAGCAGTGGGGGACAGGGGAGCAGCAAGAATGTTTAAGCATATTCAGAAGACTTCATCTGAACAGGGAGGCAGTGTCTACTACAGACAAAAACCTGCACTGGGGCAAGTGTGTGAGAGTTGGAGAGAACTGAAAGGATGCAGCCAGAACAGCTCAGGGCAAGGACAGACACCACGTGCAAGGGCATCTTTGACAAAAGAAGGATGAAATAACTACTTTTTAGATTAAATAGTCACTTTACTAACCTCTGTTTCACACATCATTTTGGGAGGAAAGGTATCATTAATTAACACCGTCAATCTTGAGTGCCTCATTAAATTGATCTATAGTTTTGCCATCTCAGCTATAGCTCCAGTTTTCTACTCTGAGTCATAACAATAGCTGTCCATACCACTATTTAATGTGTCTCACATAAGCCACGATCTGTCCTAAGCACTCTGCATCGATCAGGTCATCAAAGCTTCCCCCCAGACCCAGCAGAGGTAGGTAGCACAGCACAATTTTACAAATAAGAAAATTAAGTTTGAGAATGGGAGAGAAGAATTATACCCGGGATCATGTGCCTGGAAATGGCCAGAATCGGGGTTTGGGCCCAGATCTGCATAACCACATGCTCTTGCTCCAGAGCACAGCTGCCTGGGGATGACAGGGCACACACACTCACCCACAAGCCTGAAAACAGACAAACCTTCTGCATCCTGGCAAGACCACAACAGGATAAAAAGCACCCAGCCCAGCATACAGTTGGTCTCTGTATTAGTTTCCCAGGGTTGCTATTACAAATTTCCACAAACTGGGCAACTTAAAACAACAGAAATGTATTCTCTCACAGTTCTGGAGGCCAGAAGTCCAAAATCAAGGTGTTTGTGTTCCCTCCAAAGTTCCTAGAGAAGAATCCTCCCTTGCTTCTTACAGCTTCTGGTTCCCCAGGTGTTCCTTGGCTTGTGGCTACATCACTCTGCCTCTGTCTTTATAGGGATTTCCTCTCTGTTTCTATCTTCTCCTCTTCTGTCCCTTATCAGGACACTGCCCACTGATTTTAGGGCCAGGTAACTCAGGATGACCCCATCTCAAGACTCTTAACATAATTAAACTTACAGAGACCCATTTTCCAAATAAGATAACATGCATAGGTGCTAGTTTTAGAAAGCAGACATTATATTTTTTGGGGGGACACCATTCTACCCACTGCCCTACCCAATATTTGTGAAATGAATAAACAAGTGTTCAGTGGCATGAAGTACACGTGGTCTTCTTCCCAGCACTTTTAGTTTTGAACAGGATGATTCTGCTTGAGTGTCTGAAAGTACTCACCAATAGAAAGCTCCTCTAATCAGTCCTCCCTGGGCCCTGAGGGTCAGTCACAGAAAGCAGAAGTTGGGTGGGCTGAGCTATGTACCACCAAGAGAAAGTGCCGAGCTGTAGTCATTGGATGTTCTTTCTTCCTCCTTGGCCACTTAGCTCAAAAAGTGACCCGCCACTGCAATACTCAGTATCAAAATCATGGCCTTAACTCTGCATCAGTTGGCTGTCTCATCGCTGAAATCAGTGGCAAAATGGTACCACATCTATGGCCACTCAAAACCAGATTTGAGATTCGAACCACTCACGTGTCATCGGCAATATGCCTTTGACCACACTTGTCAACAACAAGGAACAATAAAGAGTAGTAGAACAAAGAGGGTGGGATGGTGCCAAGTTAACAGAAAATCCTTCACTTGGGGCCTGGTCTGGTTGAAGAAGACCGGTCAAAATTCATTCAGTCAAACCCATAATATAGAATTGCAGAGAGTGCAAGGAGATCAGGGACAACAAATTCACCAGCTAACAACACAGGTTTGACTTCCTGGGAGGGCTGAACTCCTCTTTGCACATAAAATTATTACTATTCCCACCCTTTTAGGACTTGTTAGTACTGAAATAAATGCGATATTTAAAAATTCTAGAGCAGGTCTGCCATTTTGTAAAGTGTGCCTTCAAAGTACTAGAAGTTTTTGAAGAACTAGCAAAAAGAGAAAGCAGAAGAGTGGTGGAGAAGCTTGGGCCACACTGTCATTGCTGCTGACCACCCACCTGTCAGTGTGTCGCCTTGCTGACAATACCTGGCCAGAGAATGGCTTCAGAAGCCAAGCGCTACTTCCTGTCTGAAGTGGGTAAGCAAGGGGCTGTGATGTGCTCCAGACTGTTCTTTATAAGCCTTCAGTCCTGGCGGGGCAGTGAGATATTCCTTCGTGTTCTCTCTCTGACTGGGATCCTTTTCTTGACATCACCTTCAGTGTGGAATGTGGACCACAGTGCCATATCCCTTACAGCTCCAGACTTGATGTTCCCATAGCACTTGCCTTCTCCATGGAGGAGACGCAGTCAGGAACAGTGACAGCATGTGCACTGCAAATGCTATGCATCTGGAAGTGTGCACATATTCACCCTTGCTCTCGACTGGGATGCTCTCCATTAAGGAACACCTGTCAGTGCTCTGCTAACCAGCATGAAAGACCAGCACAAAAAGACGGGGGAGGGGGAGGAGTGGGGAAGGAAATTAGGAGTCACATTTCATTAATCTACAAAGAAATGAAGCTGCAGACTTCATCACACTGCCAGGAAAAAGAATGATTAAAGAGGCTCAAGCTACAACATGGCTCAGCCACTAAGTCCTGGAAATAATGGAAAATATAACTGATAGAAAAAGAATCAAATGCTGCCTATGTGATTACGTGACAGCCAACTTTTTATAATGTTACTATTGACCCAACATGAGAAATCCAGCTGTGTCCATACCCAGTTTAGTCACGGCAGCCATAAAAAATAAACAAATATTTTACTTAAAGATTTTTTTGTAGGCCAGTTTTTTTTTTTTTTTTTTGAGTTGGAGTCTCACTCTGTCACCCAGACTAGAGCGCAGTGGCCACTCCCGGCCACCGCAGCCTCGACCTGCTGGGCTCCGGCGATCCTTCCGCCTCGGCCTTCCAAATAGCCGGAATTACAGGCATGCGCTACCATGCCCGGCTGATTTTTTGATTTATTGTAGAGATGAGGTCTTGCTGCCCAGGCGGGTCTCGAACCTGTGGGCTCAGGCAATCCACTCACCTCAGCCTCCCAAAGGCGCGGGATTACAGGCTGAGCCACCGAGCCCGGCTTGTAGGCCAGTTTTTTAAGGCTAAAATTAAAAGGCAGGAATGCTTTTTCCCAACAGAAAATTTTCTTGATAGGTTGAGATTTGCTTGCCTTCCACCTATGAAATCTTCATAGCATCCTAGAAGGAGACATTACCACCACCACCATCATCACCATCATCCTTATCTCACCATGCCCATTTTACAAATGGGAAAATATGAGGGTACAGAGAGGTAAAGTAACCTGAAGCATCACACAGCAGTTAAGTGACAGAATGGGATTTGAACCTAGGTCTGACATGGAATATCTTTAAAATTCATCATTGGCTTGATTAGCCCTCACAAAGAGATGGAAATAAGCCTTGAGCATTAGACCTGAGGTTCTGTAATCCAATGCAGAGGGGCCTTAAGAGTGGGACATCCTCATCCCTCCTGGTTTAGGAGCTCTGAGCTGGGAACAGCCCCGAGACAGGAAACCAAGTGCTCATCCCCTGGCATATCAACCATGGAGTCCTCTGTCTGCCACCAAGGAGTTTCCAAAATCTCTGCCAGAAGTCTCTCCAGTCCTGCATGGATGCCAGGAGCAATGCCTTGGACTGCCCACACTGCACACAGTAGGTTTTGACCACACATAATGGGTGTGATGGGAGCCCAGTCTGCTAACCGCTGGAGGACAGCAAGTGGGCATGAAATGGCCTTCACAATTTGCTGGGTCTCAGGACACCCCTGCAGCTCAGAGTCAGCTCACACCTGTGCTTGAGATCAATGCCCAGCCCCCCATATGGGTTTACAGCATGGACATCCCCCAAAATAAGTATCGCTCTCCAGTGCCAGCACCAGAAAGTTCTCTGCCCTTTCCATGGGTTTTCTGTTTGGTTGATTTTGGACCAACAATGCCACTAAGTTTAATTTTATCCATCTCTGACTACAAAATCTGAATAGCTCAGTGGCTAAGGGCAGAGACCCCAGTTCTATTCCTTTCTCACTTGAGCAGCTCTCTATGGGTCTCCTTTGTTATCTCATTTATTAAACGAAAAGTAAAGCACACCCCTCATGGATCACAGTGAGGACAAGAGAAAAGCCTGTGTAAAGTGTTTCGTCAAATGCAGGCACCTTGTAAATGCTCAACTACACAGACATTGTGAAACAGCAACACAGGCAGCAGTGGTACAAAGAGGGCAGGGTCCTTCTGTCCCAGCAGCCCACTCTTACTGGCTCAAGATGCCAAGCAGGGCAGGTTGGAGGCTTACTTCCTGTGACAGTGTGCCAGGAGGCCCCGTTGACAGTGCCCTTCTCCTTTTGGAAGTCCTCTGTGTGGCACACTCTCTGCAGGGCGTCGGTCATGAGACGGTGCGTGGAGGCATAGGAGTAGGCCAGCCAGCGGAACACGTGGTCGTCGGGTGTGGGGGTGTGTTTCTGGGTCTTCCACAGGGACGGGACCAGGTCGTAGGGGTAGGCAACCATCAGCTCACCCCCTGCAGGTTGCCGCCCAGCACAAAGGGATTTTTTCCATCCAGGCTGTGATGGCTCTAGTCTCCACAGCCACCTGTGAAAACCTAAAATTGATAAGAAAAATAAAAAGGAAACCACTTTCTCTATTTAGCTGTCAAAACAAGGATAGATTCAACAAAGTAGTAATTATATGGAATAATGCTAGAACAATTTTGAATTTCAAAATCTATTCTGGAAAAGCTTAAAGGAGACAAAAACACTTACAAATTTATGAGAAATTTATTTGGGTGAGGAAGGACTGAAAATAGAGAAATGTGAGCACTGGCCAGATATTTTAAAATACTAAGAAATGTTTTTTTAAAAATATGATCATGGTCATGGTGTTTTGATAGAAAATAGTTTCAAGAGAGTGTCCCTATTTAGAGATATCTACTGAAATATTAACAAATGAAACTATTGCCTCAACTGGGATTGCCTCAATAATCTGGGGTTGGGGAGGAGAAAGTGGGTGAAAGTGTAGATGAAACACAAATTGAGAAGTCTCAAGGATGAGATGGGTCCATGAGGATCCTTTACAGCTTTCATCATTAACTTTTTAATGATACAAAGTTAAGAAGAAAGAGAAAAGAAAGGAAACAGACTATGTGAAAAGCTACAATTGGAACGTCTGATATGGTCATCAGTAAGTCGCACATCTATCATAAATTGCTAATCCTTGTGAGGATAATTTCTGTAGGACAAAATTGATCATAACAAAGAAATAAACATAGGAAATCACTTAACTGTGCAGTCTAGAAAACTGATTAAGGGATGAAATGGACTCTATGGGATCCATTAAGTTTTGTTTTTGTTTTTTAAATATATCAAGGGCCTTGGATTGGACACAGAACTTAGTTCATTACACAGTATCATTGTTGACTGTGCTCTGTCTTCTTTTGTTATATATTTCAATAGAATAGAATAGAATATATTTCACCAGGCAAGTACAGAAGCAAATCCCACTAATAATTTCTGCTTGCCTACATGATTCTGTGTGCCCCACCCTCCAGCCTCCCACTCAGAGATAACCAGTGTATCCTAAATGATGTGATTCTCATTCTCTCTCTTTTGTTTCAAACCGTATGTGTATGCCTAAAAATATATTATTTGGTTTTACTTGCTTGTGATCTAAAATACTGATGAAGTCTGGGCATTCATGCCTGTAATCCCAGCACTTTGGGAGGCCAAGGAGGGAGGACTGCTTGAGCCCAGGAGTTCAAGACCAGCCTGGGCAATGTAGTAAGATCCCGTTTCTACAAAAAAATAAGAAAAAGATTTTTTTAAAAAGTACTGATGGCTATCTTCTGCAATTTGTTTTTTCCTCCCACTCAATTTTATGTTTCTAAGACTCATCCCTGTTGTTGAATAAAGCTATTGTCAGGCCTTTGCATTTAAGTATGATGAGTGCTGATTTATTTTGCCTGTTCTTAGATGGGGATTTCAACCTTTTGCTATAATGAACGTGTGACTTTGACCTTTCTTGTACTACCCTCTGGTATACATATGCTGGAATTTGTCTTGCGTAGTCACCAGAAGTGGAATTGCAAGGCCATGGCATATATCAATATTCCACTTTACAAGGTAATCAAATCATTTCCCAAAGTGGCTGTGCTCATTTACACTCATTCATGATGTGCAAGAGATCCACTGTCCCCTACACCCTCCAACACTAGGCAATTGTCAGACTTCTTAATTTTGCCAAATAATAGGTGCAAGATGTTCTCTTATCTGCATTTTTAGTGCTAGTGAGGTAGAATATCGTCTCATGTTTGTTAATCTGCTTCCTCCTACATAAATTGCCTCTTTATACCTTTTGTCCATCTTTCTATTGAGTTGCTCATAGTTTTCTTGCTATTCTGTATCTTTTTAAAAATTCTAATTTTCTCAGATATACAGTTTGCAAATAACTTCTCCCAGTTTACTGCGTGTCATAGTTTTTAAAATCTGATGAACAGGATCTCATATTTCCATGCAGTTGAATTTACTCATCTGTTATGATTAATACTATTTGTATCTCACATAAAATACCCTTCTTTATGCTAAAAGCTATATTTTAAAGTTTTACTATGAGATTTTATTGTGAATAATTGTTAAGTTTTAGCAAATGCTTCTTTCTATAGACAAATCACTTCGTATTGTTTCTATATTTTCTATCATTTTCTTGATGGCTGCTTTTGCTTTTTAATCCACTTTTCTTGCTGTTTTGGAGTTCTTCTGTTATTCTTTTGCTAACTTCTTTTCTTTTCTTTTTTTTTTTTTGAGTTGGAGTCTCACTCTGTCACCCAGACTGGAGTGCAGTGGCTGCTCCCGGCCACCGCAGCCTCGACCTGCTGGGCTCCGGTGGTCCTTCCGCCTCAGCCTTCCGAGTAGCCAGAATTACAGGTGCGCTTCCACACCTGGCTAATTTTTTTGATTTATTGTAGAGATGAGGTCTCGCTGCCCAGGCGGGTCTCGAACCCCTGGGCTCAGGCGATCCACTCACCTCAGCCTCCCAAAGGCGCGAGATTACAGGCTGAGCCACCGAGCCAGGCTGCTAACTTCTTACGTTAGTTCATTCTCAGTCTTTCTTCTTTTGTAATATAACTTAAAGCGATAAATTTCCTTGAAGCATTATATTATGCTGTACTCTATAAATACTGATATTAATATTTCATTCATCATTCAGTTATAGTTATCTTTTAGTTTTCAGTATGACTTTTTCTTTGATACAGTCTTCGGAAGTTTTTTTTTTTCTAAATACATTATGATGTTTTCATTAATCTTATTACTAGTTTAAATGCACAGTGGCAAGTGACCATGGTCTGTCTGACTCCTATTCTCTGAAATCTGTTGACACTTCCTTTATAGCTCAGTCATCATCCATTTTTTAAAATGTTCCAGAATTACTGAGAAGAATATTCTCTAATAGTTGGTTGTAGAATTCATATAGGTCCTTTATGTCAAGCCTGCTAATTTTGTTATTTGAATCTTTATTCAGCTGATTTCTTATCTATCGAATCTAGACACAATTGAGATAGGTATTGGTGATGGTGGATTTGTTTAACTCTCCCTGTAGTTCTAGAGAACAACAAATTCAAAAAATTAAATTCTAATCTGGAAGCAAAGACTGAAATCCAGGTACTTTGTATGACTGTGCTAAAATACTTATCTCTTATAGCCTAGAAGTTAACAAGGTGGCAACCAAATTCCAGTTTGGGTCCAAGTGTTCCCTAAGTATAACATTGCTTGAATTATCAGTTTTGTCAGGTATCATGAGGATGTTAGCTGGAAACAAAAGAACAAATCCCCAAACAGGGATACTGTGGGTTGGAATTAGGAAACATGAGAAAGGATTCAGAAGATGGAAGACTCAGAGGTCCTCCAAACTCTTCTCCACATAGGGTCCCCTGGACATCATAACTCAGCCAAGCAGCATGACCGTTGTCTGCTTCCCTCACTCTACTGCTTACTTCCTGAGGGCCTAATCACCCTGCACTGTGAGTCATGAAGTGAGCCCACTGTGTTGCCCTCCTCCCGTAAGTGATGTCCACTTGGGCTGTGCTGGGGCTGGAACACCAAGGCAGAGCAGGAGAGCTGATGTCCCCTACTCAGCTCTCTAGATTCCTCAGCAGTCCAATTGCTTTCCTCAGCTTGCAATGTGCTTACAAAATACAGTATTCCCCAGTCTTTCCTGCAATGATTGACACCATGTATAACTGAATTCTGGCCAATGAGATTGAAGCAGAACTACTGTGTAGGAATTGTAGGAATGTCTCTTACAAGAAATTCAATTATCTGGGAGGACAACTTTCCTTCCTTCCTTCCTTCCTTCCTTCCTTCCTTCCTTCCTTCCTTCCTTTTTAAAACCTTTCTTTCTCTCTTCATCCTTCACAGATATGACAGCTAAGGCACCAACTGCCACATTGGATTATGACTTGCAGATGAGTATGACATGCTGGCGACATGATTAAGGCAGAAAGAGAGATGAATTCTGGACCCCTGAAGATCATGGGTCACCATTTGGCTATACCGTCTATGTTCAGGATACTTTCATGTAAAGAAGGAAATAAACTTCTATCTTGTTAAGCTACTATTATTTTGATTTTTCTGTTGCTGCCACTGAACCTAACACTCAGTCATATATCAATCAAGGCAGACCTCTTGAAGGACCCCCCCCCAAAATGGAATTATTTGTTAAAAATTGTTAATTCAGTTGGGCTCAGTGGCTCAGCCTGTAATCCCATGCCTTTGGGAGGCTGAGGTGAGTGGATTGCCCAAGCCCGCAGGTTTGAGACCCACCTGGGAAGACGAGACTTCATCTCTACAATAAATAAAAAAAAAATTAGCTGGGCGTGGTAGCGTGCACCTGAAGTTCCAGCTACTTGGAAGGCTGAGGTGGAAGGATCACCAGACCCCAGCAGGTCGAGGCTGCGGTGGCCAGGAGCGGCCACTGCGCTCCAGTCTGGGCGACAGTGAGACTCCAACTCAAAAAAAAAAAAGAAAATATTAATTCATTCTTACATGTTTAAACTTCAGTCACCCTCAAAGTGCTCTTCATTTGAGGCAATACACCTATGGAGATGCTTTTTCCACTGCTCAACAGTTTTTGAATTTGTCCATTTTGATGACTTTTAGTGCTTCTGCCGTTTTTTTGTTTCAACTCTTCCACACCAGCAAAATATTTCTCTTTGAGCACTTTTTTTCATCTGGGGAGCAAATAAAAGTTGCTCGGGACAAGATCGAGTGAATAGGGAGCGTGGGCCTGGGGGTCATGCTGCTTTTGGTCAAAAACTGCTGAACACTCAGCGTGGTGTGGGCAGGTGCACTAGTAAATCACTCATCAAAAAATGGGGAAATGCACTGAAAGAATCTCAAAAAAAAAATCATTGAAGTAGAATGTAGCCTCTCGCAGCAATGCTAGCTGGCACACTGATGCTGATGGATTGCTAGAACACCAACCTACCAGGGGAAGCCTGTACTACAAGGAATCTAAAAGATATTTCTGTTTTTCTTGAGGAGGATACACCTTCATATAAGGATAAGGAGATTATTATGAGCAGACTATAAAAGGCATGAGAAATTTTGTGAGAATTATTTCTTCTACAACACACTTTTTTGTGAAGCAAGATCTAAGAAATCTGGGGGAAATATTTTTCATCCAATTTCATTTTTCTTTCCAAAAAAAAAAAAATCACATGTAGTAAATCCATGAAGACTTATTAAAATAAAAATAGGATACAGCAAACAATCAAGGAGGGTTAAGGATAATTTCACGGTAGCATAACTGACAAGGATGAGGATAATAATGGAAGTAATAAATCCAGACAATTCAGGAGAGGTTGCTTTGTTTTTGAAACAATATGTAGATGTTAAGAAATATAATTAAATGATTTCTCCTCTATGAAGAATCTCTTCAAATATCAGTTTAAAAGGTAGTTATTATCTAGCATACTTCTCTTTTTTGGAGAAAACATGAAAGCAAAAATGGTTTTGCTTTGTCCTTAAATGTCATGTCCTACAAATACCAGTGGGGGTTATGCCTGGCCTTTCGTGGTTCTACAGATGAGGGGGTACTTTTACTCACTGTGGCATTTTCAGACAGAAACCACTCAGGAATTGCAATATAGTGATTAGGAAGTTTTCTTGGGATGTTCTGTCAGTCCTCTGCCCCCCAGAGACGGCTGTTTAAATCAGGAAAGTTGTTATTGATGTCAATCTCGTCATGAGTCCAGCATCCCAGGGACCAACCCCCCAGCTCTGAGCCCTGAAAACAATTCAGAATGTGAAGAACCCACAGACTGCAGGACAATTCTGACAAGACATCCATACAAGATGCATCCATGTCCACCTCCCCTTGGTGTGCATCTCTGACCTCTGGATACCCTCTGACCCAAAGATGGTATCCAAAGGAGAATACTAAATATTTGATGGGTGATGGGAGGAAATACAGAGAACCACTCCTGCCAAATGGGAGCACTTAAAAAGAGGGAGGTCCTTTCTTCTGCCTCTTCCCTCTGTTCTTCCACACTGATTGACTGGACCTCCAAGTAGCAACAAATCCATCAGTACAGTATCAATGGCCACCTAGTAAGGCATTCTCCCTGCCCTGCCCACGATTCTGGCTCGCTAATTAGCAATGCAAATTTCTAACCAACTATTTGCACCAATAAACACAATGGAAATTATGTATTGTAAAGGTTGCACATGACAGGTATGACTGTTTTAATATAATTTTCCATTTTCTCCCAGATATCGTGATAGATCATGAATACTCAATACAACATAATACTAACTATATTCTATGTTTCTTTATATACATAACTTTGTACATATGTGTGTTCTATGCATACCTATAACTAATAGAAACTCTATATCATAATTAGAGCATAAAATGCAAATGAAATATCAAAATAATAAAAAAAAACAATCCCCTAGAGAGTTGATGAAAGGATTAAAGTCATTAATCAAGGTGAGTATGTGCCACGATGGAGCACTCAGTCTACATAGATTATTGTTGTACTCTGTTATCATTGTGTATGAGCGACACTATTATTTGTGTTTACTTTCCCCAGCCTGTTGGCACATCTGCCGCTCAGGGTCTGCATCCTTCCCAATTCCTGCTTTCATCTCTTATGACCCTCAAACATAAAACTTGTAAGGTGGAATTGAGTCGAATGCCCACTGATGGGCACACTTTGGACTAGGGCCCAGCTGCCTGCATGGGGTGAGAGGGACCAGGGCCATTACCCCTTTGTAGGCCTTCTCATAGTTGTTGGGGTTGAGGGAAGGTAGAATGTGAATCTGCATCTCCTCCACCAGGCGTACGATGTGCACATTGCAGGCCAAGTACTTCTGGCACAGAAACTGCAGCGGCAGCAACAGCAGCTCACGGCCCAGCACTTCGTTGCCATCAGCCCCTGTGATGTAGTGGAACTTGGGCTTCCCTTTACACAGAGACAGAGAGAAACAAGGCTTCTGCTGAACTGACAGCCACATAGTGCTTATCAAATTGTGTTAGAGGAAAAAAAAAAAACCTCGCAATAATATAAACTCACAAGCTTAGCTCATTTCTTCTTTCACATAAGCCTCTAAAATTATATTGGACAATTTTCTTTTTCCCAAAGAGTCAGGTATATAAGAAAAAAGTGTGGAAAAATCTTAGACTACACCCATCACTGAATAATAATATCCATCCTTACCAAGAATAGCTAAAATAACATAATACTTACAGTTTAAAATTTACCAGTTGAGCACAAGTCATAGGAATTATTTTTCTCTCCTGGGAGGCAATTATTTTTCTTAAAAGAACTTTAAGTTTTACAAAAACACAAAGATGGATGAATGCAAGCAGAAAACGGTACATCAGGGCAAATCGGCAGTGACAGTTTTGTAAAGTGGGCTGTGTTGAAGTATTTTCTCTTTCAAAGCTCAGTTTTTGAAACGTCGAGGGTACTATGGTTTAATGGGTTCCCACAAAACCCATATGTTGGAACCTGAGATCCAGTGTCATAGTGCTAGGAGGTGGGGCCTTAGGGGACCCTCATGAATGGGATTAGTGCCCTTATTAAAGGGTTCGAGGAAACTAGTGAGGCACTTTTGTCCTTCTACTGTCTGACATGTGAGGCCACAGAAGTAGGGGCTACGAGAGGAACAGGCCCCCAGCAGACACTGAAGCTGTGAGATCTTAATCTTGGAGTTCCCAACCTCCAGGAGTGTGAGAAATACATTTCTGTTGTTTATAAATCACCCAATCTCAGGTATTTTGTTATAGCAGCCCAAACAGACTAAGACCTAGGGTTCATCGGTGCCTGGCAGGAGCTGACAAAACATCTTCTTCCCTCACTGACAAAGCTGCTGCTTTAGAGGAAATGTGATTTTCCCAGCAGATAAAGTCATTACCATTTAAAAGAAACTCCCACGAGGAACTTCTGAGACATTGCTGAATGTTAAAATTGAGTAAGTCAGACAAATCTTTGCACCTAAATATTGGTGGACTTCTAAGCAGTTCCCAGATTTACCATAAAGAGAACCAGAAAAGTTCATTTGACCTATGGGAAGACAGGCTGGGGAGCGTTTGAATGGGAAATGGCTAAAAACAGGACATAACCTAAAAACAGAGTCGAAATTGTTTTGTTTTGTTTTGTTTTGAGTTGGAGTCTCACTCTGTCGCCCAGACTGGAGTGCAGTGGCTACTCCCGGCCACTGCAGCCTCCACCTGCTGGGGCTCCGTCAATCCTTCCGCCTCAGCCTTTCAAGTAGCTGGAATTACAGGCATGCACTACCATGCCCGGCTAATTTTTTGATTTATTGTAGAGATGAGGTCTCATCAAGTTGCCCGGGCTGGTCTTGAACCCGTGGGCTCAGGCAATTTACTCAACTCAGCCTCCCAAGGTGCGGGATTACAGCCTGAGCCACTGAACCCAGTCAAAGTTGCTTTTAAAAAGGGGAGAACTCCCTCTAATTTGAGCCATTAGGGGTCAGGGAGTCCTAGAAGAGGAGGAAATTCTGCCCTGTTGCAGTCACTTTCTTCTTTTGCTATAGCGATTGATCTCAGAGGTAGAGAACATGGAATTAAGCTTGGTAAATGGTTCTACCATTATCACAGGTGAGAGTTTCACAGAACCAACATATGAGAGTCTGTCTGTGTGAGAGGGTCAGTACTTGGGCAGTTGTTGTCCTGTTTCAAGAATGTTCTCATAGGAGTGGGGCTGTTTAAGAAGACACTAAAGATGAAGAGACCCAGCATGCCAGAGGGGGCCTCCTCACCAACTTCATGCTCCCCAGGGTGGTCAGAAATCTCCATGGCATACAGTTTCAGGCCCTGGTGACTTTTTCCAATGTTGTAAATTCTGGTGATATTGGGGCACATTTGGTTCACAACCTTCATCAACTGAAAAACAAAATGAATTAAAGGTTGTAAGCAAGCTGGGCTCGATGGCTCAGCCTGTGAAATCCCAGCACTTTGGGAGGCTGAGGTGAGTGGATTGCCTGAGCCCGCGGGTTCGAGACCTGCCTGGGCAACTTGATGAGACCTCATCTCTACAATAAAATCAAAAATTAGCTGGGCATGGTAGCACACACCTGTAGTTCCAGCTACTTGGAAGGCTGAGGTGGAAGGATCACCGGAGCCCAGCAGGTCGAGGCTGCGGTGGCAGGGAGCGGCCACTGCACTCCAGTCTGGGTGACAGAGTGAGACTCCAACTCAAAACAAAAACAAAAACAAAAACAAAAAAGATTGTAAGCAATAATGGCTATGCACTAGAAGAACAGAGCTCCCAAGAAGAAAGTTGCTTCCTGCTCCCCTCCATAGCTGCCCCTGAGTGCCCCCACATCCTGGTTGATGTCCCCTCTGCTCAGAATGTTCTCTTTGTGACCTTTTCCCCAGGATAATAACTACCTTTCCTTCCAGCACCTACTCTTCCTCACCTTCTCTAAGAAAAAACTCCTGGCCATTGACCCCACCCCAGCCCTACACTCTTAGTATGCCTTGGTTGTGGTTATCACCTCCTGCTATGGTCTGAATGTTTGTGTGCTCCAAAATTCATATTGAAACCTAACTCTCAATCTCCTTGAAGAGTGATTAGCCATAAACAGCAAAGTGTTAACTACAACCAGGGAGGTGATAGCCACAACCAGAGATGTGGGAACCATAACTAGGGAGGGGAGGACCACAAGCAGAGAGGTGAGAATCACAACCAGAGAGGTGAGAACCATAACCAGGGAGGTGAGAATCACAACTGAAGAAAGTGATAACCACTTAGGTTCTGCCTTCATGAATGGGAGTAGTGCCTTTATGAAAGACACCCAAGGGAGCTTGTTTGTCCCTTCCACCACCTGAGGAATCAGCAAGAAGACACCATCTATGAACCAGAGAGTGGGTCCTCACCAGACACCAAATCTGCTTATGCCCTAATACTGGACTGTCTAGCCTCCAGAACTGTGAGTAATAAGTTCTTGTTTTTTATAAGTTACTGAGTTTATCATCTTTTTGGCAGCCTGAACAGATTAAGAACCTTCTTGGTGGTGGCCATCACCTTCTTGGTTGTGATTATTTTCTCCCTGGTTGTGATTCTTACCCCCTGCTTGTGGTTATCATCAGCTCCCTGGTTGTGGTTAATACTTTTCTGGTTGTGGCTATCACCTGTCTAGTTGTGGCTGTAACTTTGCTTCATTGTGGGTAGCACCCCCCCTGGTGTGACTATCACCTACCTTGGGTATGACTACCACCTCCTTTGGTTGTGGTTGTCACCATCCTGACTGTGGTATCATCTCCCCAGTGTGGTTATTGCCTCTGCTGGTTGTGTCTATTACCTCCTTGGTTGTTATCACCTCCTTGATTAAATGTTATCACTTCCCATGGTTTTGGTTATCACCTCCCTGCTTATTATCACTTCCTTGGTTGTGGTTATTGCCTCCCTTGGTTGGGATTATTACTTTTTCACTGTGATTTCCTATTTTCTTATTATCCTTCTGCTACAGTGCAGATCGCTGAGGGGACTGAGTCTTTTATTTTTATCTTTGCATCCATGAGCAATTAAACATTCTTACTGGATATCAATTTTTTCCATGATTTAATGAGCACTTACAATGTCAAGCTGAGCAAACAGACACTGCCCCTGCCCTCAGAGTCCCCAGTGCCTATCAAGTGAGACTACAGCAGGCACTCAATAAAGCCTTTTAATATTAAAACTCGTCTCATCATAAACCTGCATTTTAAGGGGCTCTGTAACATACCACTTAGGCAGCAGCAGATGGGAAGGAGGGGGCGTGCAGTGGCCCAGTTCATTGGTGCTGAGTAAGGAGAGCATGGGGTCACCCTGACATTGGGAATCTTAGGGTTAAACAGTAGGAAAGCAGGCTTCAACAAGGAAACAAAATAAATGCATGCTATTTTCTGACTTTGCTTTTGTAGTCAATGAGTCAGACTGACAGTTTTGGTCTGTTAGAGGGGGACAAGCTGCCAGAGGAGGCAACGAGGGCTCTGCCAGTCACAGAACAAGCTGGCCTTGCAGGCGGAAGACAAGAGAGACCCTCTCCCTAGAGGTTGCCTTGCCTCACAGCACTTAACAAGTGCCTTTGTATTAGCAGCTAAGTGACTTTGATGTGCTGGGTTCAATTTGTTTAGCAATCCTCAAGATCTGGTTCAAAGGGCATCTGTTTATTCACTTGTTTCTTGAAGAGCCTTCTCCTTGCCAGGAACCCGATGGGGCACTGTGCTCATGGTGGGCGCCAGAGCATTCCTGGGGCAGTCTCATGACTGTGCATTAAAGACTAGGAGGGAAGCTCAGGAGCTACAGAAGCAGAGAGGGAGGACATCCCAGCCAGGGTGGTGGGTGGGCAGGTACCCATTAGGAAGTCTGGATCCTGAAATATGAGCTGGAGCTGGGTATGTGAGAACAGAGGAAGGGCATGGCCCACCACAGGGTGGCTTGAACCCGAATGTGTTCTAACAGGCTTCCAAAATGCTCTCCCCATCAATAGAAGAATCCATAGAATGCCCTTCTAAAGTGTAGATTTACAAGTCTGTTACAAATTTTATGGTGGGTTAAAATCTATTAGAACTGGAAAATTGGCATTATGTAAAATTTATGATATGGTGGAGTTAAATGACTGTGTGCTTTATCTGTCTTTCATAACACAACATTCTGTAAAGACTGAAGAGAATGAGCTTAAGGGGTATCAAGGAACATTTTTAAAAGAGTAGAAAGATTTATTGCTGCCATCACTTGGCTTTTACAACACACCTACGAGGGTAACAGGTGTGGCCTTGACTGTGAATTCAGGGTCTAATTCTCTCACTGGCCTTGGCAGGGAAAGTGGGCTTTACTTTATTAAGATAATTCATTCTGTGTCACAGTATGTAAAGAAAGGCTCTTGTTTGCAAAAAGGCCCAAACAGACACCTATCACCAATGGAGAAACAACATGCAAGGGAAATGTAGCTTCTACAGTCATTACCATGAGGATATATACTGCAGGGGTGGTGTGGAGATACATATGAATAACACCATGTTTTAATAAAAGATGCCACCATAATGTCACTGATAATGTTAACAAAAGCAATAAAAATACTTTCTGTTTCTCCACTGAATCCCACCATCAAGACCACCAGGTGAGATAGACATGGCAGGGGTGGGGTAATTGTCCCCATCCTACAGATATGGAAACTGAAGCTTAGAGAGGCATTGAGTGATTTGGGTCACCTAGCTAGTAGCAGGTGGAACCAGGACTTTGGACTTTAGGACTCTTTCCACACCCCAATCTGTCCATAAAAATGCAGTAGGGCAATGAGAGTCAGGATATCTCTACTGCACATTTTGTCTGCTGCAACTGTCACCATTCTGAAAGATGGCCACAGCACACTTGCCATCTCTTTTGATGTCCTGTGCACTAGTTCCTGCTGGTGCAGTCATTCTTAGCCTATAACATCAACCTCAGCAAATCCTGATAGGCAGGCAATTCACTGTCTTGCGTTCAGATCAATAACTAGTTCTACAGACATAGGCTGCTCATCATTAACTAGGCAATGAACACGAGCATTCAGCATGGGCATGGTTGTCTTTCTCTGATACCTCCACCCCTTTCAACTAGCTGTAGGAGATATACGCTGTCAGTACTAGAGATCATGACCTTGACACTGGAAGACAACAAATATCTTCCTTTGGGATGCACACTTAACCATGGCTCAGGAAGACCCTGGGGTCAGGAGTCAAGAGAATTTCTTCTTTATAGTCTACCCACCATCACAGCACTTCTATACCAGGACACATTCCCACCAACTACACAGTGCAAGTTAGTAAATGAAACACATGCTATTGTGCCATGGTATCACAAGAACCTTTCCCACATGAGAATATGAACATTTGAAGAATCTTCCTATCTGGGAGGTTTCTTTAAATTCTCTCTGTACAGTGGCCCTCTGGAACGCATTTCTCTGGCAGCCACCAGCACCATCAAAGACGTGGGTGGTGACCCACCCTCTCTTCCCAGCAAGACAACCATGAACATTTCTGGGAATGAGGCTCTCTATTTAAACACAGCTATTTTTTATAAAAGAATACACTTATTCCTGAAAAGAGTCAAAGATGATTTTTTGGAACTTGGGTCTTTGTGGTAAATGTTGAGGTCTTGATGAATACAGAGAGAATAAGGGATAGAATTTTCATCATGGTCTTAGAGCATACACTCTCAAAAGGGGTGACACCACCCCCAAGGGAGTAAAAACTGGGGCTAACAAATATTTATAAATAGAAAAATGCTTTGTGGGACTTCAAAATTCAACCCTGCCTGGCAAAATCGTATTTCTTAGTATGCAGTATAACGAGGCAGGAGGGTGATTAAGAAAAACAAGTGTATAAAAAAGTTCCCCTAGGGACATAGGGAATGAAAGAAGAATGTTGAGAAACAACATCTTAGAGAGTACCAGGGTTTGAAAGACTCTTGGCCTCTTCAAGACTCTGCTTCCCAACTCTGAGACAGGAATAAATTTTGCATCTTAGTGTCTACTGAATCTGAGGCTCTACTCTTTCCCTCTCTACTGAAAGAGATAGAATAAAGAGCCTCAATTTCTGGTGATATGACAGAAGGAAATTATTCATAAAGAATGGTAAAATTATATGCATGATGACACTTGTTGTGGCGTGTTTCACACTTCGTCAGTATTCGTTAAAATTTTTGAGATACTCAATGCTTCAGAGCAGAAAAGAAGTTGAGAAAACCATGATGTATCCACTCACCAGAAGACAGTATGGAAAAAGGTCAATGATCAATCCAATAGTAACAGAAACACAGGGCAAAGACATAGCTATCCTCTGAACAAAATCAAATGAATTCTGTAAATGTAGGCATGCAAATACTGGACAGAAACATGGGGTAAATGAAAATTGTCAATTCTCCAGAGCAGTGGGTTCATGGAAGGATTAGCTTTAGACTTTGGGTTTGCATTTGATGTTGATACAATAGTGTCCGCCCAATGAATGCAAGTAAAAAAAGGAGGAGGGGGAAGAGAAAAGATTCTCTTCTGCCATCTTCGCTTATTTTCCTGAGAAACAAACACTGTGCCTGGTCCAATGGAAAAGAACTTCCAGAAAGAGGGAAGAGGGAGGCATCCCGTGGGTGAGGGGTGTGTTGGGATCCATGGGCTTGCTCCCCTGCCCTGTTATGATCAACCCCCACCTCCACAAGGCCACAGAGCATGGAACAGGTGGGTGGGTCTGCCACTGTCCCCACATCCCTGGCCATACTTAGCTGCCATGAAAATCAATACCACTAATTGCCCTCCAACCATGTCTCTTTCTACCCACATCACACTCTCTACATATTCACCAACCAACCAGTATTTCATGAACATTTGGGACCTGACAATCCTGTGCCCCAAACTAGCCTTCTCCTCAAACTACTTATTTCATTTCTCCCAGAGAAGCACACCAGACCCTTCTCTCTTCCCAGCACACCTCAACAGGCGACCTAGGGCTAACCAGCCCAACTCAAAATTTCTTCTTTCTTTAATCTTCTTCAGACTCAGGAGGCAACACTCTCCAGTCTACATTCCATACAACTTCCAGAAACACAGCTCTGCTCACCTGAAGAACCCCCGCAGACCCCAGACTAAGGGCAAAAGCCTCTTCTTGGCATTTAGGACCAGTTGCCTTTCCCAGCTGAATGCTAGTTGGCCCAGAAACATGCCTGTCAGCTCCCACCACCACACCTTTGCTCTTGCCACTTACTCTGCTCCGAGCACCTTCCTCTGCCTCTACCTGCCAACACCTGTTCTCATGCCTTAAATGATAGCTGACTCCACCTGCAACCAGCACCTCCCCAGTTATGGCCAAGCAAATAGGTCGCTTCTCCTTCCCATCCCTGATTAGTGTAGGGACCTCACATATACACATGGATCAAGTGCACGTTATGGGTTTATGATACAATGAGGGAGGCAGACAACATCTATGTAAACAAGCAACAAAGCAAGAATAAATTGTGACAGATGCTGTAAAGGTATTCAGCATACGCTTGGAACAATCCCCTTACTCCACCTTGCAACATCAAGGTCAAGACTTTCTCCCTCTCCTCCTCCCTGCTCCCCACCCCACCCACCTGCGTCTCCCCTCTGCCTGGAATGGTGCCTAACAAGGCAGGGCTCTCTGCACAGAAGAGTCACAAATACTCTATTTCCCTCTTACAATGCAACGAGGTTTTTCCATTTTCTCTTCTTGCTTCCTGCTCCTGTGCCTCATTTTTTGTTTGTTGTAAATGTCTCTTTCAATAGTAGAAAAAATGAACAATTTTTTCCTGAGGAAGAAAGATGTGTACAGTAACCCAGCAGATTCCATATGGGGAAAGTGCTAAAAATGCTGCTTTCTTTCCCATCCCCAGGAGCCAGAAATCCAAAAGGCAAATAATTCCCAGCTTGAACACTCTTCAGGACTGATGGATGCTGGCTTGGACAGTTTCCAGTTGAGTGCTGCTGAGCTGTGGGGATCTAAGAGGTCCCCCAGTGGCACCTGAGGGGGCTGCACTGCTGTTCCAAGGCCCCTCTTGGCCCTAATGGTGATGAGTCTCCCAGTGTGATGAAGCACACTCCATTAGCTCTCCTTATGAGAGAAGAACCCCAAGCTTCACTGCGGGACAACTATTTAAAGACTCCGGCCAGCTACCTAGACTCTCTTTGCAAGGCTTGCTCATTTTAAATGTATCTAGATTTATTGCTTTTGACGTTAATTGCACTGAGTTGGTATGTGTCTCATTTCTGGGCTCCATAAGCTATCCTGAGACGTCCAGTGAGCAGAGTGGAGTTAGTACACCAGCTCTTCACACAGAGTCACATAAATACCCCACTGAGGAGCAGCAGGGATGACTCACAGACCTCAAGTCCAAACACATTATCTTGATTTCTGAACAGCAAGACCGTGAGATTTCTTTAGCACATCCCACCTCTAAGTCTGTGCTGACAGGTGTCTGGAAGCTGTGTGTGAATATCACACATTAGGTTACATCAAGACAAACCAGCCTTGTTTATTCTGTAGGACTGGGGCTCAGTCTAATGGCTCTACCTCAGAAACACCTCCTGTGTTTGTACTGGGTGGCTGGGTCCTTCCCTCAGCACCTACAATTTGAACCGTATCAATTTGTCCTTGGTGAATCCTTGCACTGTAAATGTATTCCTAAGGACATCTCTGCGTGTTCCATCTCTTCAGATCCTTAGCTATCTCAGGATTTCTCATTTGCGAGCATGCTTTTTAGCACATGCTGGGGGTGGACACGGAACAGGACTTCATAGGCAACACACTCAGCACAAGGACTGCCTTCTTAGTTTGTCCTAATAAACGTGTGGTCCCTTCCCCCTTCTGAAAATGCTGTCAAAAGCTCAGGACTACTGGGTTTCTGTGATTAAATCTAGAGGAAAATCTCATCTGCGATTGTCTTTTCTTTCTAATAGCACTGAACACTATGAAGGTATCAACTAGTAGTTCTGAAGCCTGGCTGGACAACAGAATCACAGAAAGAGCTTTTCAAAATCTGGATCATCGGTGGCTCAGCCTATAATCCCGCACTTTACGAGGCTGAGGTGAGTGGATTGCCTGAGCCTGAAGGTTCGAGACCCTCCTGGGCAACTTGGTGAGACCTCATCTCTACAATAAATTAAAAAAATTAGCTGGGCATGGTAGCCCAAGCCTGTTGTTCCAGTTACTTGGAAGGCTGAGTAGAAGGATCGCTGGAGCCCAGCAGGTTGAGGTTGTGGTGGCCGGGAGCATGCCACTGCACTCCAATCTGGGTGACAGGGTGAGACTTCAACTAAAAAAGAAATCTGGATCTACAGATCCTTTTCTTCTAAGGATTCTGTTGTAAATAGCCTGAGGTGAGGCTCAATTCTAGGTAGTTTTACAAATTTCCCCTGGTGGTTTTAATATGCAGACAAGACTGAAACTTCAAGGATCTGAACAATAAGACGTAGCGTGTCATATTCTCTCAGTGACTCCATTTTCCCAGCTTTCAGTAAGAATGACAGCAGTATCTCCCCTCCTAGCATGGTTAGGAGGACTGTGTTCAGAGCACAGTCCTCCTAACTGCTGAGTACAGCATTTGGTTCTATGTGAACTCTTCCTGCTGTTATTATTATCAGTGTTATTCTAGGTCCCTTCTCTTCTTTGACTCTGCATCTGACCAGTATCCTTAAACCAATGAAATCACTCAAACACTAGAGTATTCAATGAGAAAAATCTGAATTCAAATTGTGTTTCAATGATTTGCCAGCAAAGAAATGGTCTCTGATCACCCGAACCCCAAAGCATCCATAATTTTGAACTGATAAGCATTTAACATCTCTTCAAACCAAGTGATTATTTTCTGACACATCATCCTACTTTCCAGAAAATAAAGTGATTATGGACACATGATACGTTTATCTTTTGGCAAATTTCTGGATGTTGTAGTCTGAGTCTTACCTGGCGCATTTCCTTATAGCTGTGGTGCTTAGAATCCAGGTCATCAGTGGTAGTCATTTCATTCTGCCAGTGATAATAATTATTAGGATCTAGGGGCAGAAATATGGTTTTGAATTAACTCATCACTCTATAACTATGGTATCTCTGTTAGGTGCTTGATTCATATGAGGACAGTAGGGAGAGCACAGCTCAATCTCTAGCTTCTAACATTGGCTCAGAGATGAGGAACAAACCTACAGGAAGGAACTTTGGAGCCTGAACTGCCCAGTGGAGTCAGAATGCCTGAGTTCAAGTCTCCACTTTTCTACTGAAATGCATGTGATATTGGGCAAGTCAACTGAGTAGTCTAACTCAATTTCTTTTTCCCATAAACAAGGAAAAAAATGGTACCTTCCTCATTGGTTTATTGTTACCATTAGATGGGATAAATTATGTACCTGGAAAACTATCAGCTCAAAATAAATAAATGAATAACAAGACTTCAAGCTTATACATGGAGATTTTTAGAAGTGTTTGTGAGACTGTTAGTGTCTTACCCAGCATTCAATTCTCTTTCATCCTTCCTAACAGAAGCCCTATGTTTGGAAGTCCTCTCTTCCCACTTCTAGGTAGATCTCAAATCCTTGGCTCCAGGGGTCCATTGTGACTGGCCAATCAGAGCCCAGTGTCCTCTGGCAAGTCTGATCAATCCAGATTGAAGGAAAGGACTTTATTGACACAGAAAAGAAGTAAGGATCTCTCCCGAGTCATAAGAAAGCAGAAGCACAATGCCCAGTTGCCACTGTGGCTGCCTGACCACAAGAGGAACCGGCCTTAGGACCTCAGTGACATGGATGACTCATAGTAGAAGACAGAGAGAACCCCAGAACATCAAGAGCTACTGAATCAAGTAACCCTGAAGCCCAGTCTTCCTTTTGGCAAAATAGAAACTGCCCTTCAAGGTTAAGCCAGTGGAAGCTCAGTTTTCTATTGTGGGAGGTAAAGTACCCTGCTAACAGAGGTGATCTCTGGGGACTGGGATTTGGGGTTCAAGAAGGAGATGGTTGCTCTTTGCTTAATTCTCTTCCATGTAAATTTACTTTTCCCTCTCACTCCCTATAAATCTGTAGTGTTTATATAATCTCAAAAACAAACACATGGAATAAAGGAGAGGTCAAGAGGAAGAAAGAGCGAGAAGGAAGACAGTTGCAAAGGGACCACTCAGTCGGCCCTAAAATCCCCCGGCCAGTCTGATGATATCTGTGTCCAGAGTGTGCAGCTGAAAATCCCAGCCAGCTCAGCACCCACTCTGATGTAGAGAAAATGAGGTACTTTAGAAGACACACCTACTGCCCTAGGAATCCTGGGAACCATGCAGGTATCCTTTTGACCCCAGTAGCTCCAAGGGCCATTCTGCAGACAATGGAGATGGCAGGTAATTGAAACCAACTATATAAAATTACCTTCAAGTCCTGAGTCCTGCAGGAGGGGCAAGGCTGATCATCATATTCTTTCTTGAACATGGACCTAAAAGTGCTTGAGGACACAGGCCTGGTTGAAGGACAAAGGGACTTCAATCTCCAGGGACCCCACCTTCCCTCAGATCCTTTTCCTGGAATGACTCCATAATGGCTCAGGGCCAGGGTAGGGGTTGGGGTTGGGGGATGCCTGGTGGTCATGAGACTTGTTTTATACATAACATATATTGTAAAACCTAAGAATGTTGTTTGAGATCATTTTCAGACTTTGTACTTTGGTGGACCTAAATGCCCAGAACACCAGGAAGTCCTTTACCTGTCACCACCAGTAATACAGTCTCAACATTCCCCCCCCATAACATCATCAACCAATCAACAGTCCCTACCCCTCTGTCTGCCAGGTTCCCCTTAAAAACGCCATTCTCTGAATTTTTGGAGAGGTAGATTTGAGAAATTTCTCTCACCTTCCTCATTTAGCTGTTCTGTGATATTAAACTCTTTTTCAGTTTTGGGTTTCCTGGGCAGCAGGCATAAGAGCTCAGTAACACAGTAGAAGAATGAGCACTTGCTCCTTGTAGGAGCAGAGAGGCCCGATCTGATCTGTGTCACCAAACGTGGTCCATGGGTTAGCAGCGTTGGCTGCTTGCTAGACCCAGCCCTGATCTACTGAGTCAGAGTCCACACTGTAACACAATGCCTAGGCTTGGGAGTTGAGAAGTACTGTGTGGCAGTATTGAGCACATGCAGCACATGTTAGATACATCTGCCACCAACTGCCATCAGCTGAGTCAGCCATGTGCCTGTGTCCCTACAGCCATAAGTCACGAGTGCCATGCCCAAACTGGCCAGGGTCCATGGCTTGACACTTGAGAGTGAGGGCCACTGGCCAAAAGTTAAAAATCACATACAGATCCAAACACCGAGAATACATTTTTTAATAGTCACAAATGGTTTTCCCATCATACCATTAGAAACAAATAACTGTTATGGAAGAGAAATAATAGAGCGTGACTGGTTTTCTGTCCAGACAAGAAAGCAAACTCCATTCAGACCTTGTCACAATCCCTTGTTCTTTCTCAAGCACTTTCCTTTTGGGAGGAGGGCTGATGCACCTGTGTAAGCTGCCTCCCTTTGATTTTCCAACTTGCAAGTTTCAAAGCAAAGGTAAAGCCTATTTTTTGCATTCATTTACACTTAATTTGTCCACATGCTGTTTTCTGAGAGCTATTCAACACCCCCCTCACAAGCCTCAGAGGTCTCTATTCAAAGACCTTTAAAGCCCCCTTTGTTTTCAAACACTAGTGATGCCTTCCAGGTTCTTAAAAAAGGATTGAAGAAAAACTCAGAGCCCTGAGTACAAAAGAGCTTTATGATTGGCAACATTCTTTCTTCCTTAAGGCTAATCAGATTGCTGAAGGGGATGGGTACAATTTCCAGAATTGTCTCATAACCTCAGGTGAGTAATTTTTACAAATTTCAGTGATCCACATTTTTAAACAAATACTCTTTTACTTGTCCTTTATTCTGACTAGACAAAGTTGGTTTTTAAAAAAAATTTTTGTGGTAAAGATATAGGATATAATTCAGGGTTATGTATACAAATGCTCATTGTACAGGTAAAGTTTGGGCCTCACTGTGGTCCCACTTCATCTGGTTTGAGATCAGGTACCCTTAATGATGAAGTGTGCCTGTCATCCCCAGAAATTTCCCACTACTGCCAATCCCTTTCTTATAGTATTATGATAATTGTTCTGGGTCCACTTATGAGTGAGGACATGTAGTACTCAGTTCTTTGTTTCTGTGATAGATCACTGAGTATTACAGACTGTAAATGCATCCAAGTTGCTGCAAAGTTCATAATTTTGTCCTTCTTTATGGCTGTGTAATATTTCATTGTGTATATGTACCACATTTTTTTAATCCAGTCTACTTTCGATGGGACCTCATCAAACTGAAAAGCTTCTGCAAAGCCAAAGAAACCATCAAGAGAGTGGGAAGATAGCCCACAGAATGGGGAAAAATATTTGCCAGCTGCATATCTGACAAGGCCTAACATCTAGGATCTATAAGGAACTCAAACATGCTGATAAGAAAAAAACCAAACAGCCCTATTAAAAAGTGGGCAAAAGATATGAATAGGCACTTCTCAGAAGAAGACATATGAACAAGCAATTGATACATGAAAAAATGCTCAGTCTCACTAATCATCAAAGAAATGCAAATTAAAACTACACTGAGATACCACCCAACTCCAGTCAGGATGGCCATCACTGCAATAACTCAAAAAACAATAAAGAGGATGTGGGGAAAAGGGAATGCTTCTACACTGTCAGTGGGAGTATAAACTAGTACAACCTCTGTGGAAAACAGTGTGACGATTCCTAAAAGTTCTACAAATTGACCTCCCATACGATCCAGCAATCCCCCTTCTGGGAAAATGCCCACAGGAACTCAAATAATTCTGTAAGAAAGATACTTGTGCACACATGTTTATTGCAGCACTATTAACAATAGTGAAAACTTGGAACCAACCATGTTGCCTATTCAAAGTAGACTGGACAAAGTTTTTTTGAGAACCTCTTAAGGACCCAGTATTTAGGCAGAGGTGAGAGATGATCTCAGAATCTACAGACAGAGCCAGTTAGTCATCTAAGCCTGCTATCCCCTTCTTCCTTCTGTGTGCAAGAGAATCCTTTTTGTTAGCAAGCAATCTATTACAGGTGATTCCAATGGAATTGCCTTGTCCAACACACACAGGTGTGAGCATGTGACTCATTCATGTCCAGCTGGATAAAGCACAATTCCTCTGGCCACCGTCACTGGCTCAGAGACAATCCAAGATGAGCCAACCAGATGACTTTTATCCAGACCTCTAGGAAAAGTTTCTGCTGGAACCCTTGGACAGTAGGATATGAGTTTGGGGTGCCAGTCTGTGAGATAGTGAAAAGGGAGCCTTGACTCAACAAGAAGACCCTGAGATGCTAGACCCACTCTTGCCTGAAGCCAAAGTCATATCTACCCCTAGAATTTTCATTCAACATGTGTCAAGAATTTCTGTATTTTTATCCTTAAGGCAATTTGATTGGGATTTCAGACCTTTGAAACAGAAGTCCTGGCTAATTTAGGCTACACAGATGGAGTTTTGGGAAATCATTCTCCTGTTGCTTTCATGTGGTTAGTTCTATATAGCACACATACTGAAAACCAGATGATTCCTTCTGCAACACCTTAGTTGTGGGGATATACAAACTCCAGGAGTAGAGCCTAAAATAGTCTTTCCAACCTTACTTCCTTTACTAAACTACTCAAACATTTTCTCTGTCAAAACTGACCTACTGATGCCCTGAACTGCGTCACCACCCCCGCCCCATCAAAAACAAAATGATGTGTTGAGTCCTAGCATCCAGTACTTCAGAATGTGACCATATTTGGAAGGTTTTCACAGAAGTAATCAAGTTAAATTGGGGTCATCAGGGTGGGACCTCCTTTAAAGGGGAAATTTGGATACAGAGACAGACACACAGGGAGAATGCCAAGTGAAAATGAAGGCAGAAATCTGGGTGATACATTTAGACACTAAGGAATGTCAGACTGACAGCAAACCACCAGAGGCTGAGAACAAAGCCTGGAAC